ACGGTAGAAAAGTCTACTAGAACTACTATGTAAGACACTCCAGTGTGAACTACAGCTTTTAGAAAATAACTATAGAACGTAATACGATTTTCAGCCATTGTCGGAATATCCGCAGCAACTCCCGAAGTTCTCCACAACGGCGATAAAAACAACATTTCTTGCTGAGAACATTTATTATCATCCCCGAGTACAGGTTTAAGAAAACAAGAACTATGTTCAAGCAATATGTGCCAAGAAAATGTAAATGAAAGTTTAAAAGAGTTGTGTTAAATTAAGCGAAGATCTTCAGGTCGAGTATATTGAGGAAGTCGACGGAGCCCTGGACGGTGAGGTAGCGAGCACAGACTCCTCCGCTCACCGGGAACACCAGCCTGCAACACACACCACATCTCGTTAGTTGGTCACCTTGCTATAACAGTCAAAAGTATATTATTCCATGTTTAAAGCACGTCTTATCGTCTCAGAGATAGTAAAATAACAGTCTATGGTTGAAGATGCTGTGAAAAAGCAAAACTGAATGGTTTTACACTTTCATCTTAAGAACAGTATAAACTTTCAAGGCCTCCTCAGACATGCCACAGAAACTACCTCCATGTCCCCTTAAAGTAAATGGACTCATATTTCCGATCCCATTATCAGAAAAAATATGTTTTAATTACTCCTCCTTCCGCCCAGTTTTATATCACAATTCCACTTTTTGAGTTTCATTATTGTTTACACGAAAAATCTATTCAGTGGAATAGATGTTACAGGTTAGCATGCAAGTGTCAAGTGAACAGTGTCACAGTGGGTGATGTCTGGTCACAGTGGGTAATGTCTGGTCACAGTGGGTAATGTCTGGTCACAGTGGGTGATGTCTGGTCACAGTGGGTAATGTCTGGTCACAGTGGGTAATGTCTGGTCACAGTGGGTAATGTCTGGTCACAGTGGGTAATGTCTGGTCACAGTGGGTAATGTCTGGTCACAGTGGGTAATGTCTGGTCACAGTGGGTAATGTCTGGTCACAGTGGGCAATGCCTGGTCACAGTGGGTAATGTCTGATCACAGTGGGTGATGTCTGGTCCCAGTGGGTAATGTCTGGTCACAGTGGGTAATGTCTGGTCACGGTGGGTAATGTCTGGTCACAGTGGGTGATGTCTGGTCACAGTGGGTAATGTCTGGTCACAGTGGGTGATGTCTGGTCCCAGTGGGTAATGTCTGGTCACAGTGGGTAATGTCTGGTCACGGTGGGTAATGTCTGGTTACAGTGGGTAATGTCTGGTCACAGTGGGTAATGTCTGGTTACAGTGGGTAATGTCTGGTCACAGTGGGTAATGTCTGGTCACAGTGGGTAATGTCTGGTCACAGTGGGTAATGTCTGGTCACAGTGGGTAATGTCTGGTCACAGTGGGTAATGTGTGGTCAACGTACCTGCCAATACCGTCCCAGGGGCCGGTATAGTAAGCCAGCAGGTCATAATGTGTGGTCAACGTACCTGCCTATACCGTCCCAGGGGCCGGTATAGTAAGCCAGCAGGTCATAATGTGTGGTCAACGTACCTGCCTATACCGTTCCAGGGGCCGGTATAGTAAGCCAGCAGGTCATAATGTGTGGTCAACGTACCTGCCTATACCGTTCCAGGGGCCGGTATAGTAAGCCAGCAGGTCATAATGTGTGGTCAACGTACCTGCCTATACCGTTCCAGGGGCCGGTATAGTAAGCCAGCAGGTCATAATGTGTGGTCAACGTACCTGCCTATACCGTTCCAGGGGCCGGTATAGTAAGCCAGCAGGTCATAATGTGTGGTCAACGTACCTGCCTATACCGTCCCAGGGGCCGGTATAGTAAGCCAGCAGGTCATAATGTGTGGTCAACGTACCTGCCTATACCGTTCCAGGGGCCGGTATAGTAAGCCAGCAGGTCATAGGATGTAAAGTTACCGTCTGTGATGTTGGTGGCGCCGGTCCGGATCTGCGGAGGAGGATGTAAATAATTCTAATGATAGTTGTGAGTTAGCCCCCAGCCTCTTGTCCCACCTCCATAGTGAAGCCCCACCTCCTTACTGAAGCCCACCTCCTTACTGAAGCAACACCTCCATAGTGAAGCTCGACCTCCTTTATGAAGTCCCATCTCTTTAGTGAAGCGCCACCTCATTAGTGAAACCCACCTCCATAGTGAAGCCCCACCTCCTTAGTGAAGTCCACACCTCCTTAGTGAAGCCCCATTTCCTTAGTGAAGCCCACCTCCTCAGTGAAGCCCACCTCCTTAGTGAAGCTCCACCTCCTAAGGGAAGCCCCACCTCCTCAGAGAAGCCCCACCTCCTTAATGAAGCCCCATTTCCTTAGTGAAGCCCACCTCCTTAGCGAAGCCCTACCTCCTTAGTGAAGCCCACCTCCTTAGTAAAGCCCCACCTCCTTAGTGAAGCCCCACCTCCTCAGTGAAGCCCCACCTCCTTAGAGAAGCCCCACCTCCTTAGTGAAGCCCCATCTCCTTAGAGAGGACCACCTCCTTACTGAAGCACCATCTCCTTACAGAAGCCCCACCTTCTAAGTGAAGCCCATCCCTAGTGAATTGCAACCTCCTTAGTGAAGCCCAACCTCCTAAGTGAAACCCCACCTCCATAGTGAAGCCCAACCTCCTTAGTGAAGCCCAACCTCCTAAGTAAAGCCCACCTCCTTAGTGAAGCCCACCTCCTTAGTGAAGCACCACCTCCTTAGTGAAGCCCACCTCCTTAGTGAAGCCCATTTCCTTAGTGAAGCACCACCATCTTAATGAAGCCCACCTCCTTAGTGAAGCACCACCTCAATGAAGCACCACCTCAGTGAAGCCCACCTCCTTAGTGAAGCCCACCTCTTTAGTGAAGCTCCACCTCCTTAGTGAAGCTCCACTACCTTAGTGAAGCACCACCTCAGTGAAGCCCACCTTCTTAGTGAAGCTCCACCTCCTTAGTGAAGCACAACCTCAGTGAAGCCCGCCTCCTTAGTGATGCCCCAACTCCTTAGTGAAGCCCAACCTCCTTTGTGAAGCCCAACCTGCTTAGTGAACCCCATCTCCTTAGTGAAGCTCCATTTCCTTATTGAAGCCCAACCTCGTTAGTGAAGCACCACCTCCTTAGACAAGCCCAATCTACTTAGTGAAGCCCACCTTCTTAGTGAAGCTCACCTGCATAGTAAAGCCCCACTTTCTTAATAAAGCCCCACCCCTTAGTGAAGCCCCACCTGCTTAGTGAAGCCCCACCTCCTTAGTGAAGCAACACCTCCTTAGTGAAGCCCCACCTCCTTAGTGAAGCCCACCTCCTTAGTGAAGGCCCACCTCCTTAGTGAAGCCCCACTCCCCTTAGTGAAGCCCCACCTCCTTAGTGAAGCAACACCTCCTTACTGAAGCCCCACCTCCTTAGTGAAGCCCCCCCTTAGTGAAGCCCACCTCCTGAGTGAGGCCCCACCTCCTTAGTGAAGCACCACCTCCTTAGCGAAGCCCCACCTTCTAAATGATGACCCACTCACTTAGTGAAGCCCCACCTGCTTAGTAAAGCCCTCCTCTTTAGTGAAGCACCACCTCCTTAGTGAAGCCTCACTTCCTTAGTGAAGCCCCACCTCCTTAGTGAAGCCCCCCTCCTTAGTGAAGCCACACCTCGTAAGTGAAGCCCCACCTCCTAAGTGAAGCCCCACCTCCTTAGTGAAGCCCAACCTCCTAAGTGAAGCCCCCACCTCCTTAGTGAAGCCCCACCTCCTTAGAGAGGCCCACCTTCTTAGTGAAGCCCCACCTCCTTAGTGAAGCCCCAACCCCCATTAGTGAAGCCCCACCTCCTTAGTGAAGCAACACCTTACTGAAGCCCAACCTCCTTAGTGAAGCCCACCTCCTTAGTGAAGCCCACCTCCTTAGTGAAGCACCACATCCTTAGTGAAGCCCACCTCCTTAGTGAAGCCCACCTCCTTAGTGAAGTACCACCTGCTTAATCAAGCCCACTTCCTTAGTGAAGCACCACCTCAGTGAAGCACCACCTCAGTGAAGCCCACCTCCTTAGTGAAGCCCACCTCTTTAGTGAAGCTCCACCTCCTTAGTGAAGCTCCACCTCCTTAGTGAAGCACCACCTCCTTAATGAAGCCCACCTCCTTAGTGAAGCACCACCTCAGTGATGTTGGAAATTTCCAACACTAATACAATACAGTTGTATTATTATTAATTATTACTAAAATCTACTAATTACTGTAGTAACTAAAATTAACCAACAGTAGGGTTCACATGAACTAATAATTGTATCTGTACAATAATGCTAGAATTCTTACGTAACCAAACACCAGTATTGCGTCAGATTCTACCAAAATAAACACATTTATATCCAGTGTGTTAGAGAATTGAGTTTGATTCTCTAAAAACAACAGTATTCTGTGTGATAATTATTTACCGATAACATGACTCCCAAATAATGCCAAATCGAGCGTTTCTAGTTACAACTGTTATCTGGTAATAAATTTAACGTCACGCGTGAATGCCATGGAGAGAATTAAAATCATCTCCATTTCTCGTTTACCATCGTAAAACGAGAAAGTAATAATATTTAACTCCCTAGAATTATAACCCAGTCTTTATCAAAGCATTTTAGCCACAACTGCGAGAAATAATATTATTCGTGGTGAATAATTTGTATGGCGAATGCGGGACGCGGGACAGGGAGAGACGCCATTAATGAGAGAACGTGTGGCGGCGTCAGCGTGAGAGGAAGGCGCCTGAGTGCGGCATGAAGACTTGTTGTAGAATTGAGCAACTCGTTTGGTGTCAGTGTCTAGGATACGCTGTGGTGAATCGTCAGCAAGATTTAACCTGACATTCAGCCCGGAACTAGTCAAGTTGTTAGGCGTAATCCATCGTGACCGGCCAGAGAAGCACGTCGACATCCAAGCCAAGCTAGCCACCACGTGTTCGCCATTGTGACGCTAGAGCCTGGGACGTGAGTTTCGGCAAGCTTCAACTTATACAGCGCCCTATTAGCTAAGTACACATATAACTCCCTTTTGATGCATCATTAGAGATTGTATATAGCAGGGTAGCTTGTCGTCACGCCAAGCGACATAAATAAAACACATGTTAGTATTTTCTATTACTCTCCATTCCCAATTTCTTGAATATAGATATTTAGTAGCCTAATATGTTGCTACGTAATATATCTTAATTTACAGCTTGCGTGTGAGGAATTCCACGAGCTGTTACTTTACCCTTGTTATTCATCTCCCAGTGTTCTACGAAGAATTCCGGAGATTCCGAGGATGATTCGTGACTGATGTCTTTGAAAACGTCTTCAAGCTAAGACTTTTTCGTATTTCTTTATTGTTCAAATTTTCTGTATTTGATTGTCATTATAGAATGCTGTGCACTGGAAGTAACACGTTTTTATTATAATTATTAATTTCTGATATTTATGATCTATATTCTTATTGGTGACAAATTTACTATTGATTCTCTAATTGGTCATAAGATTAGGTTATTACACAATGAACTGGTGTACGAATCACACTAGTTCCTAGACATATATGAAGTTCTAGCAATAACCCCACAATGTAGGTACTTGAGGCTTTGATTCAATTAAATTATTTATACAGCCCATTAATTATTCAAGTGATTATATTTTCTAGTATTTATCCATAGTTACTGATTCCTCTAGGAATTTCTAATGATCACATTTTATTAGTTTCCCTCTTTACTATAAAAGCGGGTGGTCCTTCGTAATTGATTTCATTACTTTAATAATTAAATAAATAGAGTCAAGCCCAAATGTCCCACATTATGGTCCTTCGAACCGGATAAACATAAATTATAACTATAAATACTAATTAGTAATAACTAATCAATGTGTGAAGTAGTCTAGACTAACCATTTAATTAATTGTGTCTACCAACAGCGTAACCCATAGGTTAGCCTAAGTCACACCAATTCATTGCTACTTTCATCTCATGTATAAGGTAGCACTAGTGGGACACAGTCAATTACCCACAACACTTAGACCTATACCTCATACTGAGGTAAGAATCTTTAGGTCACCAGGAGCAACAGCTCATAACTTTTATAACAATTCCACACTAACACCTGAGTTAGAGTGGCCTCACCATCTAACCATTATATACTTAGGTGGTAATGACATCCATCCTACTCGTCATCCAGCCGAGGTGATCAAGCACCTTAAAGCCATAATTTTTTCTTTCAAGCTCATCAGTAATTCGGTAGTATTCACGTTAGTAGAACCTCGCCAACCAAGTCAAGATAATCGTTGGGGAGTAACACCAGAATACTACCAGAGAGCTGCTAAGTACATAAATTTCAGGCTGAAAAAACGAGTGAGATTGGATGCCACTTATATCCAATTTACAGCCAGACCATATAGACAAAACCTGGCCAGAGATGGTGTACACCTGTCAGGTGAGTCTAGGTTGCATGTGGTTGACAAATTGATCAACACAATCAATTATCACAAACGGCTGTGGCTAGCAAGCCAAACTTAATTGTACATAATTGTTTTCACTTGTTTGTGCAAGTGCACACTTATAAACTATAAAATCCAAAAAAAAACAAAAATACAGCACAATTATATTCACATTACTGCACCACAATAATCTTTACCAATCTTATTAGGTAGAATTTAGGCTGAGATTGTGCTGAATTTGGCACAAGCCCAGACTAAATAAATTTGTAGTTTCTTAGGTAGGAATTATCACGACTAGACTTAAGCTAGTCAGTAGTGTATGTATTATACCATTTGTGCTGACCCTATCCAGGGTGGGATTAAACTTTGAGATAACTCTGATTGGAGTGACTCCATAATATTTCATCTTGTACTCATTATTTTGTGTGTATCTATTTTGTGTATTGCTGGATGATCACCATTACATCTAATGGTGATATAGAAGAGCTAACCGGACGAAAGTTAATGGTGAAGTTCTGACAATGCACAAAATATCTAGCTACTTGTTGTTAGGTAG